CCGCGAACCAATGAGTCAAATTTAAGAAACAACCCACTGTTAGAAAGCTGAATGGCTACGCTTTAAAATGAATATAAACTTTAACGTTTTCGTCTATTATTTGTTTAGCAATTTACATTTCAGTCGAGGATTGCGCTTTTTTTGATACACCCTGTATAGTATGCTACTGTATATTTAAAAATAACATGTTTGTGATGTTTTCCCTGGGTGTCAAGTCGGTTCGAGTGGGTGACACTTCGGAACTTCAGTCTAGCTCCTTCTATATCAGTGTGTTCTGTAGCAAACCAAACTGGTCGCGGGTTTGTTTCTCACCGCGGCCAAGCAAACGTTTCGGCTTGCCCGGTGTGGACACACTCAGAGACAACATCACAAACATATATCCTCACTGAGTGTACTAAAACTAAACTAAAAACTATAAATAAGTTCATTTATACGAGGAAACTTACAGTATTTTCTCAAAAACTTTGACATATCATTTTGGCTCCGTAATTATTGAGCCCACTATTTCAAAAATAAGGTTGGGTTCTGATGGACAAGGTGAATTCGAAATCGCACTCAAGTTTGCACGATTGATTTTACACGGGACGCATGTAGTTGGACGAATTCCAATCTTGTGTCAACGTAGAAATACGTAGAATAATCTGGAAATACATTTTCTCCATTAACGATTGATTTTGCACGGGAAGCATGTGGTTGGACGAATTCCAATCTCGTGTCAACGTAGAAATACGTAGAATAATCTGGAAATACATTTTCTCCATTAACGATTGATTTTGCACGGGAAGCATGTGGTTGGACGAATTCCAATCTCGTGTCAACCGGTAGAAATACGTAGAATAATCCGGAAATACATTTTCTCCATTATTTCATAATTTTAGGTGAGAATGAGAACTACAGTCGCCGGGTATTTTTGATTTACGATGGCATTCATTACGATCCTCTGGGGGTTATCAACTCAGATGGTACACCAATGCAAACTGTTTTTGATTCAGAAGACGATGGTTGGATTGCCGTTGCTCATCAAGTTGGCGATGAAGCACGCAAGGTAATCAAAGACTGCAAATCGCAATATCCAACTCTCGAAGAAAAATAATTGTCCAAATTAGCCTTTCTCACGGCCGATTTTCCCGCCATTTTGGGGTACTGCCTCTCCCACGTTTAAGAGTTTCCGCACCAGGAAATACAACTTTTCAGTATTGTACAGTAGTTGTTTGTATAATGGCAAATGCACAGTTACAACTTTTAAAAGTCGCTTTTCACGTTGTTTGAATTGTCTATAATCTTTCACGAGGGCAGACAGTACCCCAAATTGGCGGATTTCGACCTTCGTGAGAAAGGCTAATAGCTGTTATCGTAATTGAATACGCCGCTGCGGCGAACCAGCGGTATCTCAGTGGAAGTGCGCACGAAAACGAGGCTAAAGGGTCAAAAAACACAAAACATGACCCTATAGCCTCGTCTTGATGTTAAAATAATGCAGATACCGCTGGTCTGTAACATTGACGTATTCAATTACGATAACAGCTATTGTCAAACACCAACTGTCGAATAGTCGAATCAGTTTATAGTATTTCTAGAAGGATCTTAAACAAGTTTCTTACTTTATAGATGAACCAATTCACAAACTTAAACAAGTTTACATTGCGATGTATAAGCTGTGGTTTACCGTTGATTGGCCAGACGGCAGCTACTCAGCATGCCGAAGAAACTGGACACATTAATTTTGGTGAAGTTTGAGATTATATTTGTGAAGAATGTTTGTTATAATTATTTAAAGGAGCTCAAGAACGATTTGTGCCATATACTGTTAAGTGCATCCACCTTCAGAATTTGTATCCTTCATGAATCGCAATTCTGCATACATTGCAAATCCCCATATGGCATGCCATTTTCCAGTCGAGGTTTACATAACTTGGTGCTTTTCATCCCACCGTATTCGAGTAATATATTTTCTAGCTGGGTCAAGCTAGTAGGATGTAGCTTGTCTTTGGTGTTATTAAAAATGTGTACACAGTAAATTATTGACACTCTATTCATTGACATTGTCCTCCTTGACATGGTGGTCACGACTGCTACGACCAAATGGAACTGCTACCAACCAATTTTGATGCGCTCGTTGCAGCTGTGATGTTGGAATTTCATTTCTTTGCCTAATTAAAAAAATGGAAAACCCGTGGGGGGGGGGGGGTTATTCCCAAGATTAATTGTACGTTTTGTCTTTTATTTGTGGCGGTAGAAAGTATAGTTCATAAATCCATATACATTTCGTCAAATACCCATGCAAATAGTCTCCTCGTACGTTTCTGGATCAATATCTCGGCGAGAATTAAGGAACTAGTAGACGCCATGCAGTTCCTGTCTTCTGAGCGGTAATACCGTGAACTAAGCCTCTTATTGTGTAAAATACTCTTGAGAGAAACTGCGAAGAACTTACACGATTCAGAGCGAAGGTCCATCGCCTGGAAGTTGGTAAAGTGGTGAATACAAAAGCGATCACGTGATAATTATGAACCAACAAGGTGGATTTTAGTCGTAACCAACCGTAAGCGAAAAATGTAAATAACATTACCGAATACATGAAGTGGAAGTTGGGGGGTTGCGGGCAAGGATTAAAGGAAAGATATATAAAGAAATATGAAGTAAGGTAAGATGTCCAAAGACTGCCAGTAGAGAGTCTAAGTCCGATACCAATACCGATGTCTTCACTTCCGTTCTCATTTTGGTACCGGGAATTTTAAAGCGTTAAGTTATCACGACAGATACAGTATAGAACACATTAATCGTCACCGAAAATATGCGGTTCACTAAACGGCAGCAGAGCTAAAATTCCGACTAAAACATGACTCAGGCGATGCTAATGCACCTATCATTGTTTTCCCCCTGAGGGGGGGTGGGGGCGACCCAGGGGACTTTGACCACACTATGAAGCCCTAGTGAGGGGAATTTGACCTATGCATCAACTCCCATAGTCGGGAAATTTTGACATCCGCCATCTTGAAAGTTTGCGCGGTTTTGACATTGAAAGGCCTGGTAACAAGTATGGCGGAGAAGCACGATCAAGTTTCATCGAAAAAGGTATTTTATAGCCTTTTATACACAGTGTCTCAATTTTTACCAAGTTTAAACCAGTATAGACTGTATGTTCGCATTGGAAAACATGTGTGTGCCTTGTTATCTTAGGAATATAGTGGGGAATTTTGACAGCCATTCCTTGCCCAACAGTGGGGATTTTGACAACAAAATTTGAAAAATGTCAAAATTCCCGTGGGTTGCCCCCCCCCCCCCCCCCCCAGGGGGAAAACATTGATAGGTGCATAATAAACAAATACTTTACGTGTTTAACGTAAAAATTATGACATATCCGATTTATATGAGTTTATCTTACAATTCCCACGACTTCCAATACAAGGCCGACTTGGGTAGTGGTGACTTCCAATACACTTGTCTTCGTGCTTCTTGCGAGCATGCGCATGACCTGTTGTTAGTATCGGTATTGGTATCGGAAGTCGAACTTCAACTCTCTAAAGGCTCGTTTACACTTGCAATTTTTGCTGCGATTTTCTTCTGATGGATGTGAACGAGTGGGTAAGTTATGAATGTTCAGATGAAGGTACATCTACTCCAAACATTCGTAACTCGTGTACTCGTTCACATGCATCAAAAGGAGAAAATCGCACTAGAAATCGCAGAAAAATTGCAAGTGTAAACAAACAGGTTGGTTAGCATCGTCGTCGAGAGAGGTTGCCTGTTTTATGAGTCGAATGAGTCTATGAGTTTATGAGTTATGAGTCAGTTCAAAAACAATTCTTGTTTATACTACACTCAGCAACCAAAATGTCTTTAAATTTCAAAACCTACATAACTAATAAGGATATCACACACTTTGGATATAAAACCTTGTCATTGTTAGCATGAACTGCATATTCAGGATCTGTTAATCGACTATGAGGGGTGGAATGGGACAAAAATATAAATTGGTGAAGACAGATGTTTTCGGGCAATGTCTCATGTTTTCGGGCCGTATGTTTTCGGTTCACATGTTTTCGGGCAATGTCTCATGTCATCGACATCGGGCCGTATGTTTTCAGTTCACATGTTTTCGGGCCGCATGTTTTCGGTTCGCATGTTTTCGGGCAATGTCTCATGTTTTCGGGCAATGTCTCATGTTTTCGGGCAATGTCTCATGTTTTCGGGCAATGTCTCATGTTTTCGGGCAATGTCTCATGTCATCGACATCGGGCCGTATGTTTTCGGTTCACATGTTTTCGGGCCGCATGTTTTCGGTTCGCATGTTTTCGGGCAATATCTCATGTTTTCGGGCAATGTCTCATGTTTTCGGGCAATGTCTCATGTGATCGGGCAATGTAAATGCTACATCCGGGTTACCATCAATTTGGCGCTTTTTTGTCACGTGGGTTTTAAACTTTTCTTTAACAATAATCATGCAAACTGCAAAGTGTTTCACTGTTTTTATGGTTGATTTATAGTGCTTTCCAGTTCAAGGGGTTTTATTTTTTTCAAGGGCCAAATTTAAATATGGCTAAAGTATTATAGTTCTGTTTTAAGTACATGGAGATTCATAACGTCGAACAAGTACGTATACAATGTAATTTAATTTGTTTTAGTTCCACAATATACAAAACGAATCCTGTTTGGGCCACTCCAAATTAGGCTTTAGTTTCCCGTCCTCCGCCCGCGTCTCCTAGAACTGGCCGCATGATTTGTCCATTATTGCGAACTTGTTTCCATTATTTGACTTTTGTGACAAACAATTACGAAAAACCACAGTTTTCAAATAATCTATCGTTCAAGAAATACATATTTATGATACAACACGTAAAAATCGAAATAAAATTCTTGAAACTTTTATCAAAGAGCGTGAATTTTTTTCAGTTTCCACTACGAACTGCTGAGCTACACACTTCCGTTACAAGTTTTGATTTTTTAACGTCAAAACCGATATTAAGGCTAATATCCTGGCTTTCATTTCTGCATACAAAAAATCTAAAACATTGCGTAGAAACGTGGCTGAGTGGATATTTAAAACGTATCTATTTCATGAAATAATGGGCCCCGTTTCATCTTTGAGACACCATAATGGATAATGGAAATGGACCGCCCGCCCGCGTGTAATTTGAAATAAAGGCCGGACGGGAAACTAAAGTCTAATTTGGAGTGGCCTTAATAGATTGTTTACAATACTGTATTTTTGAAGATTCTAGATTGAAATAATTTTTTACACTTTAGGTAAGTCCATGGTGTAATTTGTTGACGTATGCTAAAAGCACATTTTAGAAGTGTGCTTTTAGCATACGTCAACAAATTACACCATGGACTTACCTAAAGTGTAAAAAATTATTTCAATCTAGAATCTTCAAAAATACAGTATTGTAAACAATCTATTGAACAGGATTCGTTTTGTATATTGTGGAACTAAAACAAATTAAATTACATTGTATACGTACTTGTTCGACGTTATGAATCTCCATGTACTTAAAACAGAACTATAATACTTTAGCCATATTTAAATTTGGCCCTTGAAAAAAATAAAACCCCTTGAACTGGAAAGCACTATAAATCAACCATAAAAACAGTGAATGATTATTGTTAAAGAGAAGTTTAAAACCCACGTGGCAAAAAAGGCGCCAAATTCATGGTAACCCGGATGTAGCATTTACATTGCCCGATCACATGAGACATTGCCCGAAAACATGAGACATTGCCCGAAAACATGCGAACCGAAAACATACGGTCCGATGTCGATGACATGAGACATTGCCCGAAAACATGCGAACCGAAAACATGCGGCCCGAAAACATGTGAGCCGAAAACATACGTGTCGATGACATGAGACATTGCCCGAAAACATGTGAACCGAAAACATACGGCCCGAAAACATGAGACATTGCCCGAAAACATCTGTCTTCACCAATTTATATTTTTGTCCCATTCCACCCCTCATAATCGACGACTGAGTGAAGACTGGATACGTAGCTGTATATAGACAAATCCATCGCCTGCAAGACAGCATTCTCTGATATGAATCCATGCTTGTTTTCGCTCTTTCAACGCTTTTAATCACGAAAAACTATGGAAACGTACAATATTAATACCATCTTGTGTTCATAGAATCGCTCTCACAAGCACCACAAACACGTCTAATCGAACAGGACATTAATGAGGAACTTACTTCAGCAAAAGAATGTTATTATATAAGTAAAATCCCGTTAAAGAAATGACAATGTTGCTGTTGCTTATTTGAAGTAGAGAGTACTGTTGTTATATTGTTATTTTCGTTAAAACTGTTCAGAACATGAATCGTGTCGAAATGAAAAGTTTGTAGTTTACAGTGAGACTTCGAAGAATGAAACCCCATTACCGGCATGAAACTAAAAAGAGCATCTTCAAATTACGATAAAATTCATAAATTGCAAAGTTATGTAGCGAAATTGTTGTAAAATGAGGAAAATACAGCCGGAAAAATAACCTTTTGAACCGAAAGCTCTCAAATTTCCTTTTATGAATGTATGAGTGCTTTCAAGCGACTACTGATGTTTAGACATTGAAAAGCTTTCCCGTAAAGCAGAATGTTATCAGTATTTCATCCGATTTTTATCTTATTTAATTACACAAAATTTCGTAAAACTCTGTCCATTATTTCTGTGAATATTTTGCGTACAGACAGACAAACCGACGGACAAAGGAACAAACAAAAAATATAACCTGGTGGACATACTAAAATGGAGAAATTACAAATAAAAGTTAAATACAATAAAACCCGATATTTTTGACTCATAAACTCGATCATTGACTCACAACTCATTGACTCATAAGACTCACTTGAACATTAATCTCCGTCGTCGATGACAATGCTCACCAAACCTTGACCTCAAACGTCTTTCAGTTTTCCCAATGTACGTAAAGCATGCTGCATGTCACATTTACTGCATGAGGTGCGGTAGACGTGATGTGAGGAGGTACACGTGAACTGGTGCTTGACATCGTACTTCGATTTGGTGCCGAAATGGTTGTAGCAGGTTGAAATATCTCTACAAAGTCACAGGATTTACTTTGACCCACACGAGAGAGAGACGTGCCAATGGGTGAGGACGAATCCTGTGTTAGGGGCTATGGACTAGGTTTTCACGGATATTTTTGCTGTGTCGAAGAGATTATGGGATTATCAGTAAAGTGGAGGATGTTTCAGCGTCACTTTTCAAGATGTGGGAATTCTTTCTAATGATACCTCTTACTTTGAAATTCAAGGGATGATAAGTTAAAACTAGGGGAATTTTGTTATTAATAGTAAAATTCGACACAGGGTCTCGAAGGGTCTCAAATCGTGGAATTTGGGATGCCCTCGAAAAGGCCGCGTCCAACAAAAATGCTTCTTTAATATTCCAGAGTCCAGACGTTTGGCTTGGAAGTCCGCATTTTAATTTTCACTGCAAAGTTGGCGGATACGAAGAAAGTGGGACCAGTATGTAACCTGGAGACTTTATAAACCGTTTATGTGCACCTCCTCATACTTCTTTTCAAGTAGTAAAGGCAGCATTCTTTTCATCGGGGAAACTGAAAGACTTTGAGGATAATGTTCGGTGAGCATGGCCGTGCTGTCATCGACAACGATGCTAGCCAACCTATTGCGTGTTTCAAATTTGAAACTCGGAGCCCTCTGCCCCATTTCCAGTAGTAACTGCCATTTTAATATATTCTGCAATGTGATTTACATTACATTTCTGTTTCGTTTGCTTTACGCTCTTGTATTTGCCAGGCTTACAAACTCGAGACGAAGGGACTTGGCCTTACATTTTTCAGGTAATTGCACCATCTACACAGATTTTCCAGTTTGTATTCTTCGCTACCTACATTGGCACAGAAAGTTCGCGAATTTAACTGACCAACAGCCTTCTTGATTGACTAATCGTCCGACTGATGCCTGCCTGACTAACTGACCGACCAACAGACAACTTGACCGTGACTGATTCAATGATCGACAGACCGAAAGAAAATCTGACCATACGAAGTATAACCGCCCCACTGTGCATGTGACTGATTCACGCCTGAATAACTGACACGCAGACTGACAAACCGAAGGACGGCATGACTAAATGACTGACCGACCAATTGTTGATGGACCGACACACTGCCTACAAACTAACCAACCGAAGGATTGGCAGAATTTTTATATTTACAAGGATTTCAATTTGTGAATATCGTTACGTCAAGTACAAAGTCTGTTATTAGAAGCCGAGTTTATTACATATTGAATGAACTAAAGAAAAACGTTTGCACCTGAACAGAACAGAACGTGACATTTGCAACATAATTGCTGCAAAAGATTGATGTTCAGTCATTCATTCACAAGTGTGCAGGACTATTATAGAAATTTAGCACCTTTAAAATTAAACTGTTTTCGTACCCCCAACCCCTCGCTGACAAAACGCAATTATATAGTATGATAATTATGATGGCGATTTTCTGTCTTTCAATAAAAAAATTAGGATATCAGTCATTAGAAACTGAGGAGAGCGATCCTTTTGAGCCATGTGAGTAATATTTCGCGTGCAAACGCCTGGGGAGTAGAAGGTGGTCATCCTTCATTGATTGTCCACGAGCACCAATATGAGCTAAAAACTACAACGGGGAGAATTTATAAAGGTCCATCTACACGACATTCACGACACGACTATTTGTATACGATTCTTATCCTGACGTATGTACTCGAACTGTAAATGCGCGTGCAAAGATGTCACATTTTAAGATTTCGCCATAAACTGATGAACAATGTCGTATATAGCCTGCGTGTCAGGCTCTATGCTTGAAATAGAGCCTGCTACTGAAGTCAATAAAAAGTGGACAGTGATTTGGATGCACAAAAATAACAACCAATCAAAATGGCGATTGTTAATTAGATTATCAAAGCTAATTTAAAATATGACAATAACAGCCAATTTGTCCGCGTAATTTGCCATTTCCCAATCGAGCAGAGGCCTGGGTCTAGTTGCTTGTTTGAAGGGACAAAAAATAAACAATGTTGGAAGTTTTCCTAAATTCCTAAAGTTATTTGTTCAGCCTGAAACGCCCCAATTATAATAAGGCATCATTTAATATATGTTTAGCTCGCTCACTCTAACTTGTTATCCCTCTCTGGGTACAAGAATGGTTGTCCCTCCAAACATCAACTAGACCCAGTCCTCTGCTCGAATGGGAAATGGCTAAATAGGGCCACTTATACGGGACAAAATAAGTCGCGACTTACATAAGACGCGACTTAATTAAATAAGACGCGAGTTTTTCGTATAAAAGGTACAAAATTCTTATGTAAGTCGATCGCGTCTTGGATAAGACGCGACTTAAATAATTATCTCATACCTAGCGTATTAGCGGCTTTCCTATTGGCTACGAGGAGGTGCGTTCAATCTCTTATCCCATACCTGTGTTAAAAGCGGCTTTCTGATTGGTTTAGAGCAGGTGAGCTTGTCGTCGAGCTCACCTGCTTTTTGCCGAGCTCACCTGCTTTTCGCCCGAACTCACCCGCTAAACTGCTTACGTTGCAATAACAATAACAAATATGGCGGACAAGATTTAGCCGATAAACCTAAACTTTAAAGAACTTTTTTCGGCGACTAACATACTGAGACTGAAGAAAAACCAAAGAAAAAATGCAGTAAAGGTAATGTAGACGTAGATAAAGAAGTATTTTCTTGCCCAGTGATTTTTTTGGCCGGGAAAATGTTCACAAAACATCGACGAGACGACGAATATATCGCGAAGAGCTACAAATGTGTGTATGGCTCGGTGTATGGGATAAAAACCAAACGTACTTGCAGGTTCGGTGAGTCCGGGATTGGACGCACCTCGGGTGGCTGGAAGTTTCCCGAACTCACCTCGCTTCGCTCGGTAAGTTCGGGAAACTTCCAGCCACCATCGGTGCGTCCAATCCCGGACTCACCTCCCTGCAAGTACGTTTGTTATAGAACCCACCTGCTGACGTATGTTTAGGAGGTGGGTTCGAGATCGATGTTTCGGCGGCGGCCATTATGAAGCGTTTTGAACAAATTTCAGACGAAGATTTAAGTAAAAAATAAATTAACTGTTTTTAATTGTTTTATAATTATTTTTTTCTTTTGTTTGATAAAAATGGAATATTCTGTATCAAAGTGGAAGAGAACAAAGATGGCCGCCGAAATTTGTTCGGCACGGGCAGGTTTATATAAATCTTGGCATTGTTTTCGCAGAATGTGTTCATTTTCTCTTTTCAAGAATAAGGGAATATTGTAGAGAAATTTTTTAGCTTTAATTTACGCCTAAGTTTGTTTGTTTGCGTACTATGTTGGCGGCTAAAATGTTCGTTATCCAAACACGAAATTATATACTAAAAAGTATTAAATGCGTATAAAATTCTTCAGTACTTTTTAGTATTTTACCGAAATGGCATGTGATAAAAACCAAACATACTTGCAGGTTTGGTGAGTCCGGGATTGGACGCACCTCGGGTGGCTGGAAGTTTCCCGAACTCACCTCGCTTCGCTCGGTGCATCCAATCCCGGATTCACCTCCTTGCAAGTATGTTTGTTATAGAACAGGATTTTTAGCTGTTCTTATCTAAGTCGCGTCTTAAATAAGACATTTTGGATAAAAAGTTTAACTACACATATGCCCGAAACTTGAAACAACGTAAAATTATTAGGCTTGCATATTCAAACGAAAACAACCAAAACAACATTTTAGCTATAGCAAGTAAATAAGACTAGAGCCATAGAGAACCATTTAATATACGATAACTCCGCTTATATAAGACGCGTTTTATGTAAGTCGCGACTTATTTTGTCCCGTATAAATGGCCCTATTGACTCGCTTAGGATCGGAAAACCGCCAATATCTCGAAAATAAATTATCCAATTTTCATTCAACGGCCAGGAATTACATACAGAAGATTCCTAACAGTAACTGACCGTGTTTATGGGCAGTAAAAGCAGGAATTAAGATGACGAAAAGTACAATTAGAAGTATGGAATATCTTATTACGGAACAATAACTTGGCATTACCTTAAAAAGCAAGGCTATTTATTTGACCAATGGGAATTTTGCGTACGATTCGTACGCATAAATCTACTTTTTATTGACTTCAGTAGCAGACTCTGTTTCAAGCATATAGCCTGGCACGCAGGCTATGTCGTATACGACTAGTCGTATCGTGTAAACAGGCCTTAACGAATGTTCAATTACGGCTCCGCGCAGATGAGGCGATCGTAATGGAAAACAAACTTTGGCAGAAGGAGTGAAAATGTATGTCTAGTAGTAAAACAGCAACCTTTGTTCGCTTAGTTTCCTAAACATGCAATGTTTAGTTGTAATTAGCCACAAAAATATTCGTGTAGTTTTGGATATCCAGAGTTATCAGCTCAAAAACTCAGTCAAATTTCAAGACTGCTTCCATACCATTACCACGCAGCATAACAAAAGGCCAAAATTGCTCTCCCTCAATTCGCCTTGGGTTGATTTCACTTTGGTTGTTATAATTGCTTTCAAACGCGAAGTACAAGCTATTCTTAGGTATGTTTAACGTCACTGTGACAGTTAATTCTTCACCATGTTGGCACCTTACTTGATAAGTGTTTGCACCTGTATTATCGGCTGTTGAAGTTACTCCAACAATACATAGCGACCTGCGAGCTGGAGTGCGTCCATGAGTAGGAACACGGTGCTCATTCATTTTAAACAGAACTTTCCATGACTGAACTCCGCTTTTGAACGAACGTTCTCCAATTCGCCAACACGACTCGTCATAATTCATGTTACTACATCTGACCCTTAAGCCTCCGTCACTAAGCTCACCACTTCCATGATCATTGCTGAAAACCCACGTGACATCTTTTGTTAAGGAACATCTAGGGGCAGGACGGCCATCTATGGTTGCTTTGAACTCCAATGTGCCACCACGGCGAGGTGTGACGTTTACTGTATGTGTGCCATCTTTGTTGTCTTGGATCGTTGCGTTATCATATTCAACTCCAGAAATATTTGCTTCAACTACCTGGCCTCCATTTTTAATTCTCTTTTTGTTTTTGTCAAAACAAATAATCTTCAATGAAGTTTGTTGATCGCGTTTTAAATGTTCACCTTCATCAGTGAATTCAGCTTGACATTGGTTAGGATCGGCCACAGATTCATCTACAGCAAAATAGCTCAGGAAATTTTTGTCGGTGTCTTCTATGGACCAGGGGATACTAAACCTGAGATCACGTGTGACACATGGTTGGGTTACATCTTTGACTTTCTTTAGATCTTGAAGGGATTGCAAGATATATTTCTGCATACTTAACACTTGAACATCGTTGCCATTCTTAAAAGCCTTCTCCGTAAACTCGATGCTGCTTTTACAACTTGCTAAAGCCACTTCTAGTGCTTCAATCTGGGCTTGAATTTGCTTTCTCTTCAAGTTGGTTAAAGAACTCGCTTTTGATAACAACTCGCTTTTCTTTGACACGACGATTCTCTGCAATTCTTCAAAATGACTGGTGACTTGTGCAACAACCAAAGCATTTTCGTCCACCAAACTTTGATCAAATAGCTTGAGACTTGCAATTGCTCTCTGCAGTGTGGCTTGTCGTTGTTGTACTTCCTTCATATTTCGTTTCAATACTTCCTTCTGCCCGACAGCGACATCTTCAATGAAGCCATAATCATGTGTTCTATGTTCCACGATGGTACAATCTCGACAGATGGTCGACTGGCATGTTTTGCAATAAAGCTTGATCAATTCTTCCTTGTGCTTTACACATCGTATTTTCTCAGCAACACTTAAAGGACCAGCTCCAGACTTCAGCTCTTGTAGAGTAGTGAGGACATGATGTTTAGTTGGTCGGGATTTTTTATGAAACTCGGAACAATAACTGCATAAGAACACGGCACATTCTTCACAACGTGTGGCAGCAGAATTTTCATCTGTGCAGTTGTCACATTGTATTTTCTGGTCTTTCTTTTCATCTGTCAATGCCATGGTAGCAAGTAGGTTGTTGACAAAAAAGTTGGAAGGAAGGTTGGAAGGATTGTCTGGGTTATCAACCTGCAGAGTCATAGAGAAATTAAAAATTTGTTGCAAATTATGACCAAGAAAGAAGTATTATTTGGTTTTAATTCGAAACGGTGTCGTATAATAGAATAGAAAAACTTTTTTTCACGAGGGTAAAACACTTAACAGTATAAATTTTCTGATAAACATATTGCTACAATACAATATTTAAAACTACATACTTGTACATATTAAACTAGAATTCCTTAAAACTTAAAAAATGTACTTTGATATTCTAAACAAATGTCACTTTGAGTTTGTGTTTAATTAAAGGCCAATCTTATAAGGGACCGGTCAGTATTTATGGCGGGGAGTGGCACCGAAGAGAAAAGGGTTGGGTAAACAAAATTTTGAGTGAGTAAAAGGTTGGGTAAATGAAAAAAGAAACAACTCAAAGGTTGGGTAATAAAAATTTATTGTTATTTCCAAAGCATGACTCACTCAAATATTGAAGACTAAAAACGTCAATGTCAACAGTCATACGTCAATACAATATGTAAATCAATCAGAGTCACTATCTTGATCATTTCCAATTTGTCAGGAGGCAAATGGTGTCTCCAAAGAAAGTACATGTGCAGACAACATGAAACTTTAGACTGCAGGAACAGCTGCGAAAAAATGCAACTTTAGGTCCCTGGCAGGAATTGAAACTGCGGCCCTGCGATTCCGGTGCAGCGCTCTAACCAACTGAGCTACAGAGGCCAGTTGTCGGGCTCTAACCACAAGTTATAGAAAGTGTAAAAGTATTCCGTCTTTATCTCTTAATAATAGATTACAATCTTCTTCTAGCTGAACGACTTGCAAACCGACGCGAACAGCTCGTGCCTCGTCTTCTACGTCACAGACATAGTTTAATTGTAATGCGAAGTGGTAGTGAAGCAGTGGGAGACTCTTAAATTTGGTCAGAGACAGATAAATTTCTCTATTACTAACCGATCGATAGATTGACTGACTGACCGACTGACTGGCCTGGCTGATTGAACGGACAAAATTTAGTTGATAACACTTTAAAGCACTTTTCTTAAAGAGACGTAGATGAAGAAATACTAAGAGTCCAACGAGTTTTGGCTCATAATGTTGACAATAAATGGGCGAATAAATCGCAACCTAAACCAAAGGCGGCCGTCTCAGAACAATATGCTTGTAAGACAAAGTTTTCAAAACTCCAAAATACTTGAAAACAACAGGCGAACAGCACATGTTAAATGCACGGTTCGGCTATTAAAGTTGCTTTGGCTGACATTACAGATCAGTTAAAAATGCTCTGACCATTTAGTGTGAGGATATTAACGTATAGTTTGATTGGAAAACTAAATCATCGCGATGTGCTGAATTGTGCATGCAAAAAACTATATGGCCTCGCCAATTGACATTGTGCTAAGGTAAATGAATAAAGGTATCAGAATTGCACAGTGTTGTAAAAATTACCAAAAAAAATAGCGTGTAAGAAAACAATTACTTCTCCGAAAATGTGATTATTACAAATTACTTACGTTCAAAAGTAATTAATTACGCCAATTAGTCATTTCCCAAAGTCCTGGGTTTAGTCGCGCAAATCACATGTTGGACTATAGGGACAAGAAATATGGCAGCACACGTTTAAATTAAAATTTAATGTAAAAAGGAGATATTTCGTTTTTGGTCGTGTAAAATTTGATAGTAGATACTTCTACTCTTTCACATATTTGATGCCTGTCACCACCCTGTCGCGGAAAAGAGTGCATAAATTTACATACCCAGGTAAATCAGCGGACGAAATAGAGTTCGAAATCCGCAATATAGATCAAAACCTAGAGCCCTCTCATGTTATATTACACTGTGGAACAAACAGTCTTCCAACAGACGACCCAAATGTTTGCATCAAAAAACGTGAAGATCTGTGCTCGAGAGTGGAAGGCAAATTTCCCAATGCCCAAATCGGAGTGTCAAATATCACATGTAGAAAAGACCTTCAATTAGATAATAAAATTGAAGAGGTCAATAACAAGATCAAAGACATGTGTTCTCGTAACGACTATTTAACAGTTATTCTAGCTACGAACTCGAGTCGAATATGAGCTGAGAGAGTGGGTGGAATAACAATGTTTTATTATACAGGGTGTATCAAAATAAACGCAATTCATCTTTTGTGCTTAATAACTTTCGAAATACTATTTCTAGTTAAACGCTTTTAGGCTTACTTCAAAGTCTGTTCTTTTCTCTTTCAAACAAACTATTATCCTTGTCTCCAATGCTAGTAATAATTGCACAGGAAAAGATTTAGTAAAACCTATCATTTTTAGTTGCTGTTTAATTATGCAAGTTTACTATGTTATTGTTTAGTCGGTTTAAATGTTAGAATTTTCTTCTTTAAACTTTAATGTTGTCGTCACTACATCTGGAAAACCACGTAAGAACAAATTAAAAGTATTTTAAAAGAGACCAGGTTGTTTGAAAATCCTAAACGAATGCTAAAATCGTCAAAACATTCTGGTGTCTGAGCCAGAGTGTCATCGAATTGCGATGTAATGTAAACAGAAATTATAGCAAATTGATGTCAGTCAGCTTAGATGGTCCAAGCCAAAATTATATCGCATTTGAAGTTTCAAACTGTGTTAAAAATAGTGGAAGAAAAGCCGTAATTATACTTATTGTTACAATCCATTTATTAAAATGCAACAGTTTTTTTGTTTTAATGAAAAAATCAGTTATTTTCATGAGAACGATTTGTTATTCCATCTCAATTTTTTTAATCTCCAATCGCAATAACGTAAAGTATTATTAGCCGCGAACCAATGAGTCAAATTTAAGAAACAACCCACTGTTAGAAAGCTGAATGGCTACGCTTTAAAATGAATGTAAACTTTAACGTTTTCGTCTATTATTTGTTTAGCAATTTACATTTCAGTCGAGAATTGCGCTTTTTTTTATACACCCTGTATACACAAGGTCTGAATTCACAGACTTTGCTTTTCGGATATTTTCAATATTTTTCTGTTTTGTTTATGTTTTTATCTTCGCTCTTTCGGCCGATTATTTTTTCAAAAAAATATTTTTTTAACCATTTTAAATTTTAAAAATTCATTTGCTAACCTGTAAATAATTTGTGGGAGTTGAATTCTGTAAAGGCTATAAAAAGCGAACAACTTGCCGTTTTCTCGTTCGCAAACCGCAAACGTCGGAAATTCAGTTTGAGCCGTCATTTTGTTTTTCTCTACTAGCAGGATATGAGCTATAATTTCCGGCTAATAGAGAACGAATCAGATTGCAGAACACCTCATGTCCAGACCTTGTGTATATAATAAAATATTATACTTCATAATAACATAAATGAGACATGCCTGAACAATAGTAAGCTGCATCTAAACGCAAAGGGAACCGCTTTACTTGCAGTAGGATTTATTAAGTTCTTACGTGGAAGGCAGTTTTCTGGTTCAGCACCACAACAACATCACAACTATTCTAAAAACTTTCAACTAGAAGAGACACTACACCAAATAGAGAAAACTCTGAAATCGCTGAAATCGCTAACGTGACGAACTCGATAGACTCAACAATGAATAGTATAGCTCAAATTTAACTAATAATAATAATACGATAAGTTTCGATAGCGAGTCAGTTTCAACAAATTCAACTTTATTTCTGCCTGATTTTAACATATCGAATTTAAAGGGCCTGAAGATTGCAAATTTAAACATTAACAGTCTTTTAAAACATATCGATGAGGACATTTTGGCCATTAATGAGACTAAAGTCGACTCCTCAATTTTGGATGCAGAAATTCATATTGATAATTATACAATTGTTCGTTTTGATCGTAATAGATTTGGGGGTGGGGTGGCTCTATATATAAAAAATAATATACCATACACTGAGAGAAAAGATTTAATCCCTGATAATTTAGAAATGACATGTGTGGAGATTACTAGGCAACATAGTAAGCCTCTACTAATTGCTACCTGGTATCGACCACCTAATTCAGAGCTCAATATATTTACCAACTTTGAATTGTTTCTTTTAAGTGCGACTAATATAGAAAATAAGGAATTAATCTTAGTTGGGGATCTAAACTGCGACGTTAACAAACTAGCTCCTGATTCACAAACTCATATAAAGCTGCAAACTTTATAATCTTTATATCAAATTTACATAATCTACCATCCAACCATAGCTTAAAGCAAGTTGTCCACCTACCTACCAGAGGGTCTGCTATCCTTGACCTTATTGCAACAATTTGCATAACTTGTACGAGAAGCCGTATATACTGGCTCCGCTTACCACTTCGGATCATAACATAGTTCACTGGTTACCTCTTACTAAGGATGCCATAAATATTTTGACCCCAAAACCTAAGTCCATAAAGCACTTGGTGAGACATTATCCCCGGCCTGGAATTGAGGTTTTCGGACGTTGGACTTGCTCAAAAAATTGGTTTGACGAACTCAGCGCTAATCCAGGGACGGATGAATTGGTTTCCTCCGTTTCATCACAAGTGACCAATGCTCTTAATAACATCTTCCCACTAAAAACAGTGAAATTACATCACATCGACAAACCTTGGATAACCCCCTTCAATCAAGCAGCTTATTAAAGATCGCCAAAAAGCCTTTTATAGAGGTGATAAGCAACAGTGGCAACTATTGAAGTGCAAAGTGCAATCAGAAATAAAACAGAGGAAGGGAATGTTTTATCAGGATAACTGGATAAGACTCAGCATCTTCGTAAAGATGATTGTCGAAAGTTTCTTAAAATTTTCATGTACAGGTATGCTAAATGTATCATATCTAAACTGTACACAAAAAATAAAAGGTTTTGGTTCAGAAACACGCCAGTTATATCCATTCGAAATATTTCACGATCGGGGGTTTCATCCTTTTCTATTATTTGTACGTGTAAAGGATAGGATAGGATAAAACTTTATTTGACTACGCTGGCCACTTCAACCATGGCTGCTTTCCAAGTGGGGCGTAGATAAATGTTACAAAAATATATAAAATACAAAATCACTAAGAATATTAAGAACTACGAATACAAATACATATTACAAAACAAATGGCATACAAAAAGTGAAATAGCTAATTCGTCAGACTAACAGAGGAAATATTTCTATTGAAAGAATTTAAAGATTCGCTGTTTCTTACTTGTTCAGGAATGCTATTCCAGATTTTAACCCCACTATATCGAAAACATTTTCTGCCATACTCTGTATTTGGTCGTGGCAGAAAGAGAGACGCATTTGAACCTCGTAAATTATAACTGTGGATATGGTTAGAATTCTGGAACATTGATGAGAACCTCGATGGTGCCAAATTATTGACAACCTTAAACATGAGACGGGCCATAATATGTTTTCGCCTTTCTTCCAAGCTTATCCACCCTAATTGATCGAGGGCCAGTTGAGATTGCCCAGGCTCATCTTTAAAGTTCATTATAATTCTAGCACATCTGTTGTGAAGTTTTTGTAGTCGTTCAGACTGGCCTCTATTAATGGAATTCCAAACTTCACAACAGTAGTCGAAATGGGGTTGGACAAGACCATAATAGACCGACTTCAAAGTATCAGAATTAGTGAAATCCTTTATCTTTTTCATGGCACTTATTCCAGAAGATATTTTTTTAGAAATTTGGTCAATATGACTGTCCCAAGTTAAAAATTGATCAATTTTGACTCCAAGAGTTTTTGTAACTTGAACCCCTTTAATTGGTTCATCTCCAATAAAAACACGCGGTTGTTCTTCTAACGTGTTAATATTGTGGCGTGATCCAATCAAAAGATATTCCGTTTTGACAAGGTTAAGAGAGAGCCTGTTCGATAGAAGCCATTCTCTGATATTATTGAGATCGACATTAACGGCCACCTCAGCTTCCTTAATTGATTTACCGGACACTGTAATGTTAGTATCGTCGGCGAACATGCGTGCTGTAGAGTGTTGTAAACAATTCGGCAAATCATTGATATAAATTAAAAACAGAAGTGGACCCGAAATTGAACCCTGAGGAACGCCATATTTTAGATATTTTAGTGTGGAAAGTTCCCCATTTACTTGACATTTCTGAGATCGATCTGATAAGTACGATTTGAGAAGCATAAGAGGCGTGTTCTTAATACCATATAACTCTAGTTTAGCCAGTAAAATGTCGTGGTTTACCGTGTCAAATGCTTTTTTTAAATCGAGAAAAACGGCAAGATTATACAAACCACGATCCATATTAACATACCACTCATCAGTACAATCAAGCAAAGCAGTGGACGTGGAATGAAAGCGCCTGAACCCAAACTGCTGTTCAGAGTCAAACAGAGTCAAGCGTTCTAATATGAGCCCACGCTACTATGGTCAGTCAGTGTAATACAATGTTTGAATTACATGAAGTAGTGGGCATGATTTTATCGAAAAAAATATAAAATCAACATAATTTTCATCGTGATGAAACCTGGACGAAACTGTGCGATATATAGGTTGATGACAAGGTATTTTAAATAAACACAATCATATTTTTCTGCCCCCTGTGTCGAACTGGGCCAACAGTGTTCATGCAGACGAAGTTTCGTCCTCTGATTATAAAAGGCTTTTTAGTTTGTTAGAGGCTATATATGCAGATGCTGTTGCTTACGAAGTTGGTAAACTTGCTAAAGAGAGATGTTGTGGTTGTGAGTACGACCATCCGAGTCAACGCCAGCATGACTGCCTCATGTTATCAGAACAAGAGAGACGCAAATATTTATTGTTTTTATCATAAATCATAAAAATACAATAAATACAATATATTTAGTTAGGTTGCTGCGGTGGCTAACAAACGTTTCGTGAAAATATTAACCCTCCCTGTCATGTGTCCACGCGAAGTTTTCGCGAAGATTGCGCGTGACTTTCAAATGATTTGTTTTTTATTCTGAACCTAAATGGTTTACGGGAGGGTTTTTCCTTCCAAATGCAAGTAATGTTTTCAATTTTTCGATTGGGACTATTCTACAATGAAGTACTCTTGGATACTGTAATCTAAATACATATGAAAACTAAGAAGTGGCATTTATCGGGCAGAGAATCGGCGAGCCGACGAAATATCGAAGGACACAATATCGAAGATAAAATACACTGCACTGCTTCAAAACTTGATGAAACTTGGTTGAAATCTTCTTTAGCCATTTATCATGATGTAAAAGTACAACAATTGGATGATATTTGCGAGACTCGGCGATAAAAAGCAAACAAGACGGCAAAATATGGCCGAAATCGTGTTTTCGTGGGGGGGGTGAGTGAAATATAAGCATTATATTTAAAGAAAACAATGACAATCCTTATGAAAACTACAATAATTATATTAAATTAAGCATAGTTTTTCATCCCATGATATTTTTTTTAGGAAATAAGAAAATTTAATTTCTGCCAGGCATATTAGTTATTTTATGCATAATTAGCAATTTACCTGGGGTCATTTTCTGGTAAAATATAATACTTAGACAAATTTTTCCTTCCAATCACCACCCCTAAAAGCAACCCTTCTAAACACTATTAGCACTTCAGAAAGGCTGTCGCTTTTCGTTTTCGGAAGTTGGAGCTATGTCAGCACTGCCGTTTCAGGGCGGGGTCATTTTCAGGACTTTCGCCCCGGATTCAGGTTTTGGCACATATGCCATGTTGAACGCCATGGTCATTTTACCCTAAAACAGTTGAGATTACCTGTGCTAAATGAAAGGCATACAAACATCTACACAGATCCTACACTAATAAAGATGTTCGTGAACACTTCGACAGTTTAGAGAAAAGTCCTGATTCAACGTTTGTTTACTCGCTGATGGATCTTCGTGAAAACACTGAGGATAGTGAATTTGAGTCAATTTTGAATTATCTTTCATACTGGAGAGAGGACAAACTTTTAGACCAACTTTCTAACTGGAAAGAGGATTGTCGTGATGACCCGCTTGAGCCTGGGGCTACGGTCTTTTTTTCGATGCCCCCTAGCTTTAAGTATACTGTGAAGGCGACAGGCGAGCAATTTAGAAGTCATGAAGAGGATCATTATAAGGCATATGTGGAATATTTGAGAAGTAAACTTTGAGATTGAATGATTCCGTGTAAATATGTTAATAAACGAGTTTCGTTTTTATTCTTTTTGTAAATTTAAGGGTTCTTAAAAGAACCGGTGTTTCATGTTTGTCTTTACTGATGCAGCCACATCGCAAAGGCTTCGACTTCGACTTCGACTTTTGCCAGGGGTTGATAAGCGTTGCTTTCCAAATGGTTCCCGCAGGTTTCTAACCAGATCAGTTGATCAAATAGTTTTTCAGCTTTGGGACAATTGAAGCATTCCAAATTTACGGCCGGAATACCGAGATTCGCCAGCAAATCCCTTTCGTAATGTCCGCCTTTGAAGGCAATTGTCGAGATTGAATCTATCTCTATTTCACGGTAGAAATTCTCTACAGTTGCCTGCAAGTCCGAAATTTGAAATGCATGCTTTGGTACCCCGCGGCACTCCAAACGGGAGTTTATTTATATTTTTCTGGACGAAGTTACACGTTCTTTTGTCTTTCTCGTTGAGCTCGTTCCAGTGTAAGCCAATATCAAAAAAGAACGACGTGGCTTCAGAGTTTCCAACCTTTATGACTCCCAACTCCTTACAGAAAAATTTCTTTCCAATTTGAAATCCGTCCATGTCAAGGATCCCAACGATGTCTGCTTTACACTGCATGTTGACTGATTGCATGATTGTGATGTGAATTAGATTGTTTAAAACACTATTCTGCGTTTTTGCGTGCGATATAACTATCGCGTGTACAAAACGTTAATCCATGTGTTAATTTATGCATGCAGTCAACCAACGCGGTAGCTTTGGCAATAATATTTTGCTCTTAAAATCAGTGCGATTTCGTGTTACCCTTTTTCTCCCTTTTGAGCACGCATCGGAACATTTTAAAAACTTTGGGAAAGATCGTGATGCAACTCTTGGTGAACTTGAGGTGGAGTTCAAGCCTTTGCTTTAAGGCGGGAAATAAATTTTGTTTAAAACATAAATTTCTGTATTAGTTTATGTGTGAATTAGGATGTTTAAAAGACTAAGCTGTGTGTTAGTTTATGCGTGTGTCTTAGCGATCTTACGGGACGCAAGGACACGTTAAAATGCGTCCCATAAGAAAGTCCTGTGCGTCCCGCATATAGGGACACGGTCACACCTCTCAAAGTGTCCCGCAAGCAAGTCCCGGGCGTCCCGTAGAAACGTCCCTGTGTCCCGTGCGTATGGGCACATGCTCATAACTGCTCATGAGCACATGCTCATCTGCTCATAAAACTGCAATATTTCTCAATAGCAAGGCATTTCTGCACAGACAGTGCTAACGGAATGAGCTGCCAATTTTTCGGAAAGCAATTTAGTCGTGGTTACAATCTACAAAGACACGAAAAGCAATACTGTCAACTGGGTGCACAAGAAAGAAACATCTCTCGCAGGGGCGCACATTTAAAAAAAACTTAGGGGGGTGTCCTATGTTCCGGGACCGACTTTTGTAGTATTTGTGTTTGATAAGAAAAGCCAACAATTTTAAGGCGTGCACAGTACTCGTGAACTTGTTGTTATAAATACATTCGTATCTTTGAGGATGGTTCTAAAAGAGAATTGAAACACTGCGCTTCCTTTAAGACAATTAATATAAAATTTAAGACTTTGACGTATGGTACAGGGCTATAGGAAACTCTTTTCGATTCGGGGGGGGGGGCTGAAAGCGAGGGCCGAAGGCCCGAGGAAATTTTTAAATTTAGAGTCTCTGCAATGCCGTTTCCTGGACTTTGGGGAAGATTTGACAGAATTCTGATAGTCAGAGAACAGCGTTTTAGTATGTCGAAATTTACAATTTAGTAGTACTAAATGGCCGAAAGCGTATTTAATTAACTATTATATGTTGAATAAGTTGCAGGAAAGTGTGGGTAATACCATGGATTGTAAAATTCAAAATTGCGGATGGATTCATAGACCGGGATAGTATTCCAAGAGTTTAAATAAACGTTTAGTTTTTCAGAACTTCTGCTCTAAACTTTCGGGGGCCAAAATTTTTTAGGGATTTCGAGTGCGAGCGCCAATGGCGCGAGGAAAATTTTGAATTTCTAGATTCATTAGAACGCTATTTCACGTATTTTAGGACGAGGTTGGAAGAAAAGTTACAACCACAAAAAGTCGCCTAATTTTGTTAGATTCCATTTCCAAAATGTCCACCTATTTATTTTTTCGACACAAAATGATGTCTTTCAGATTTTAGCAGGACCGACTTTTTTTTCGTCCCATACAGGTTTCGGGACCGACTTTTTAGATATATTTCACAAAACATGGGGGGGTGTCACACCCCCCCACACCCCCCCTAATGTGCGCCCCTGATCTCTCGAACAGATTCAGATAGCCAGGAAAGTGATTTCCAAGAAGATGTCTCAACAACTTCAACTGATGTATCCGATGCGACTGATAATGAGTCAGAAACTGAAGACGAAATGGACCCTTGGATACCGTTGATAGAAGAAGCAAAGCAAAGAAGTAGTATAGCTTTTGAGGGAA